GTTAGGGTTAGGGTTAGGGTTTAGGGTTAGCGTTAGGGCTAGGCTTATGACTAGGTTTAGGGTTAGGGTTAGGGAATCCTCGTGGACATTGCTTTTCCCTTGGTGGCCCCACATAGCAGGTAGGTCCCACTGATTATAATCCAAACCACCAGGGAACCTGGAGATCAGTGGAACAGAGCCCTCTATCCTCATGACACAATGGACACCATTGGAGGAGCTTAAATTTCCGTATGGCCCCTCTTGCTCTGTTTCTGTAACTGGGTCCTACTTGTTCCTTCCTGGAGGGTTTGCAGTGTTGAAATGGCCCCAAGTTCTGACACAGAGGTTGTTGTTTGATCTCCTCAGAGCCAGACTGGCCATGGCCATATCGCAGGTCAGGCCCAGGTGAGCACGGCTACCTCAGTGCCACAGGGGCTGGGGCACAGTGTGGCCAGGCTGGGCACAGTCGTGTCCCAAAGTTTGCTCGGGATTCTTTGTAAGCAAAGCGAGGGATTAGGGACAGAGCAGGGTCTGTCACCTAATAATGGGCCACAGGTGTTCCTCCCATCACCTCCCATTGGTCCACGGCACATTTCCACACCAATCTCCCTGATGTTGAGGTGTATAATTGTATTGCATCATTATCTCTTTGATGAACTTGTCAGCATGAATTCCTAATTACCTGGTTTTTTTTGCCACCGCTCCCTTTTGTGATGCCCCCAGGCCCTTTGAGAGATGTATAAAAGGTCCAGAGGTTCCACAGAGCTCTATCCACCTTCCACCGCTTGACTCGTCTTATCTCCTTGGTAAGTCCAAGCCTTCCCTCCTCTTTCCTTCTTCATCCCTGGCTTTCTCAGGGAATCTTTGGGGCTTTCTGGAGGAACCTTTGGCTGTGGGTTCCTCTTGCACTCCTAGAGCAGAGTTGGGATAGTTGGGGTTATACTAGGGGACTAAGGGCGTCGGAAACTTGAGGAATTTGCTCGTTTGGATGTCAAAGTCTTCTTAATTGCGAATCGCAAGCAAGACTCAGGGATGGTGAGGGCTACCGGGGATGTGAGCAGGAATTTGAATGGAATGGCGCTTGGGTCAGAATGCCTGGGATGAGCCAGAATGAGTCCTGGAACACAGGGGAGAGCCACTGGGCTTTGGGTTGAGCCCTTGGTGTGAGCCATGGCCATGCCTTGTCTTGCAGCTCTCCCAACCAAACCGAAGGATGTCCTGCTCCAGCCTGTGCGTCCCCACCTGCGGGGTGGCCACCCCGGCCCCTCTGGCTGACACCTGCAACGAGCCCTGTGTGCGGCAGTGCCCCGACTCCACGGTGGTCATCCAGCCCCCGGCCTCAGTGATCACCTTCCCTGGGCCCATCCTCAGCTCCTTCCCTCAGCAGAGCGCCGTGGGCTCGGCCGGAGCTCCCTACGTGGGAGCCGGCTCTGGGGGCGCCTTTGGGAGCCGTGGGGGCTACGGGGGCTATGGGGGCTACGGGGCCCTTGGGGGCTATGGAGGTTATGGAGGCTGGGGCTATGGAAGCCGTGGTCTCTATGGGGGTTGGGGCTATGGAGGCCGTGGAGGCTACGGCGGTTGGGGATGCGGAGGCTACGGAGGCTGGGGCTATGGAGGCCTTGGCAACTGCGGCTACGGCGGCTGGAGCAGCGGCCACCGCTACCTCAATGGCAACTGCGGGCCCTGCTAAGCCCCAGCCCCAGCGCGGCCTCAGACCAAGAAGAGCTCCAGGACAAACCCCGGCACTTCCCTGTGGACCAAAACCCCTTGGACATGGCCGGGCTCTGCACCTTGAGTGCCTGGTGCCAGCTTGGGAAGCAGCTCTGCCTTGTCCCTCTCGTTCCTGAGCATCCCCGAGCGGCTCCTGGTGCCCTGGTGGTCTCAGAGCCTCTCCTGGCACTGCTGCTGCTGACCTGGCTGTGCCCAGGGCCAGGCCATGGGAAGCCCTTGGCAGTGACCCTGCTCTGCTGCCCAGCTCCTCCTGCCCTCCCCCTGCAATAAAAGCTGTCTTGCATTGAAATGTTGACTCCTGGTTTTCCTTCATCTTGCCCTTTTCCTACTGCCCAAATTCCTGGGTGTGTGCTGGGCTGTTGCAATGCCCCTGGGCAGTGCCCTGCAGCCCGGGCACAGCTGGCTCTGTGTGTCCTAGCTGGGGATGTCCAACCCCGCTGGCTCTGGGGGCCTCATCCCTTCCAGCTCCCCATGCTCTCGCAGCTTCAGGAAACTCAGGACATCCCCAAATCCCTCAGTGAGGATGGGAAAGGGCCACGAGGGCCTTACAGAAACTCTTCCAAATGCTCAGCCCAAGCAGCAAAGCTGACATCACCTCTGGGACTGGGCAGTCTTGGGTTGAGATGGTCAAACACAAATCAATATTCCATTTTCTGAAGGCTTCAAACCATTTGTATTATACTATGCATGCTGTTGTACATTCTTACAAAATTCCTAGATATACACTTATTGGTCACAAGAGACAAACATAGTGCTCATTGCAATGG